TGTAACCTAAGGGATCACAGGCTTAGTCCGTGACAGTGACATGCCTTCCCCCACCGTGTGTTAACACTAGGAAGGCCAGGGCAGGGTGCATGTTGTGGCTACATCCCTTACTGGTTGAAACTTCTTGCTCTGCTACAGGCATTTTTTCTTGAACAGACCCACAGCTCCTGAAGATGTACACCATCATTCTTGGTCTCTTGCATCCAAGTTGGTACCTTGGGGGTAATTTTCAGTGACGATGTAGCCAGTTTGTTTCTTCTGCCTCTTTCTTTACCCTCCTTGTGAATGGAAGGCTCTAAGACTCCAAGGGCTTTAAATGTGGTTTTCTAAATATTCTACCAGATTGAATTTAGAGACATCCCAAACTTTAACAAAGCTGTCTTGAGGTCTATGATTAATTAAAAGGTTATACTCTGTCCTTTGCCACATTTTCTTTATATTTCAATTATGCTTCTGTGGAGTTAACTAAAACATACCTTATGCCTATAAAAATGCCCTTTCTGGCTATCTAGCTGTCCTAAAAGTTGTTATTATTTTGCCTTACATAAGAAAGAGATGTGTCCTTTAGATTTTTCTGTTGGAAATATATATCAACAATATGACTACAATGACCAAGAAAAGAGAAAATCACACAGGCAGGATAGTGCTGTTTCCCTGACATGTGCCTAGGTGCACACAACATCAGCCTGTACCAGGGTCTGGAACGGGTGACATTCTGAACTGATATCGATGACTATCTTATCAGAATCTATTGTTTTCACCTTTTCCTACTGAAGGGAAATCCTTCCCAAAGTGTGACACCAGCTAGGACAGTAGAACTACAAATGGCCCGGGCTCATTCAAGCAGGAATTAGTCAAGGCATTGTATACTTTCAGAGGGAAATTTTCCCCCATGAGGAAGACTTGGGCATTGTGTAGCTGATTCCAGGAAAGCCCAGCATTAGGAAGGCCCCCGTTTTGTGCGAAATGATCAAATACAGATGTTTCTAGGGGTTGATCAACTGAGACACCAAAGGCAATGGCACAGCAGACGGCCAGCTAGTACCAAGCGAGGGCATGTTTTTGGCAGGAGAGTGTAAATGAGGACAGAACATGACTGACACTCGACCAACATCCATTTTATCCATAAGTACATATTTACTTCCAAAATGTTTTCTACCATGAAAATGTAGCAGGAAATTAGATGTTGCAGACATTGTCATATGTGTGTGTGAAATTCTGAAAAAGATGAAGAGCAGAAAGATATTAAAAATGGGTTCAACCTTCTGTCTTCCTGAAATATCAGATTTCATATAAAACTCATCAGCTCAACTAAGTATTAGGCTTGATCAATGGCAGGAAATGAGAGGCTCAGATGCTAATAAATCAGAAACAGATACTCTGCTCCTGAGCAGAAATACATCACAAAACCGAAAATAAGGAAACCGTCTGACATTTTTTAAAAATGCATCTACGTATAGGAAACAAACTGAAGTGAAAGTTGCCTCAAAGCAGGGACCAAGAGTCTTAGGCACTGTCCTCAAATCTCAGCTTTAAAAGCACAGCAAGGAAGCAAGGGCGTGCAGACACTCGGTGAAGACCCGAAGACGAGGGGAGAAGCACGTGTGTGTAGGTGTGCGAGGTTAAAATGGCCAAGTGCTCTCATTCAAAGGTTGCAAATAACATCCTGTTTAGATGACTTCTACATTTGCTTTTGTAGTTATATCCTGAGACCTCTGCTCTAACCCTTCTGTCATCTAAAATATCTGCTGTCCACAACTCTTATCTTCACACTTTTCAGCATTTTTAAACTTTTCTAAAGCAAATGTTTTTTTATAGTAAAACATAAGCCCAGGAAAAAAATGCACAAATCCTAGGCTCACAAATTCGTAAGCCCAGTGAATTTGCTCAGTAAACAAACGTGATGGGTACCTAGAAACTTAATGCTGAATGTCCATCTGATGGCAACCCACTACTCCTCCTGGAAATGCTACAGATTGTCATTTTTGTCCGATTGTTTTTGAGCTTCATATAAACGGAACCATTAAGTATGTATTCTTGCAACTGAATTCCTTTATTTCATAATCTGCTTTACTGGATTCATCCATGATGGTCATTTGTCATTTACATTGTATTATTCTAAATAGCACAGTTGCATTCATTTCACAATTGCAGTCATGTAGGTATAGGTATTTCTTTGTTTCTGCAAGATGACCAGTCTGGGCACTGAGAGGGAGAGTTAAAAAAAATCTCTGAGAGAAATCAGCAAGAATACACTGAGCTATGCTAAAATTCCCGAACTGACAAGAACGTAATGATAGGCACACAATCCCAAACATCTTTGAAACTTTCATATTTGTTTTTATTTAATTAAAAAACCCTGCAAGCACAATGATCATTTCTTTCTTTCACCCACCTTCAACAAGAGCCCAGAGAGTGCGTTCCTGCTCTTGGAACGGAAACTGTGAAAACAGAGAGCTAAATTAAATTAGAAAATCCTGGTATTCGGCAGGACCGAATTTCCCTTCCTTCCTATTTTCCCATCCCACAATCTATCACCTAGAGTAATTAAGACCAGGGACGTATCGTCTTCACTGGATTAACCCAAGCTAAATTGTTCTCATTCAACATGTGCCCTTTTGATTAGTCCGAGCAGGGCCTGCTGTCTGGGATACACCCACCTTGTAATTCTGCACACTTAATTAATTTCAGATGAATAGTGAGGAGGCTAAGCTAAATTCTCCGATTAATAAACTATACATCCTTATGTGTGGTCGAGTAGCCAGAGATTTCCATACCCCTTTATTTCCTTGCCTTGAAAAGGGTAAGTGGAGATTGGAGGAGGGGGTGACCCACACACAACCCACAGACACAGTTGTGATTGTGCACGGTCCCTGTGCAAGTTCCCCGAGCCACTCCATCACCATAAAAAGCAGAGTTAAGAACTGTTGGCAAAATATTCTTTTCCTGCCAAGCATAATTTAGAGTGTCCTTCTCCACCCAGACCTTAATATTTAATTTTTCATTGGCATGTATTTCCGGTTCTATGTATGGATTATTGGTTATGAAAGTGAAATATTAATATGACTATTTTTCTATTCTCAAATGCATCCCTCAGAAGCAAAATATCATTGTCTGAAAGCTCTTCTGATAAATGATTTGAAGTTATTTGTTTAATCATCAAATTTAACAGCTCTCAAAAATATCATAAAGAGTTGCCCTCATGGGCGTCTCTGACAGCAGAGAAATTATTATTTCCTTAGAATAAAACAGCTCCCAATAAGCTATAATTTATCTCATATTAGAAAATCATAGAAGATAGATTTACAGTCTCTCCTTCAAGCCAGAAAATTTATGTATCTAGTTATTAGTGACTTAAAAACTACTACCAATCTGCATAATTGTATGTAAAGAGTTTCCCAGTAGCTTTTATATCCTATGAGCCAACTCCATGAGGTCAATTATATTCAGGAAGTTTCAATTACTGATACTTAGGGAATAAAATCAATATGGCTGTTGGTTTCTTTATTGGCTTAGAAGGAATAATAGTTGTATAGGACTAAATGCCTATCTGGACACAGCCTAGTTTACATGTTTTAACAGGAATTTTAAAAGGTCTCTGAATTCTTGTGTAGAAAGTTATTTAAGAAATCATATAGACAACTCACCAATATCCTCAGATATTAAGACCAGGATATCCTAATTTTGTTTCCTAGATTTTCTTCCAAAATGATCTTGTAAAAAAAATATTGAGGGACTCTGTCAGAATTCTACAAGTTTAGACTGTTTAACAGCGAAATCTGTGCACTTTGGTTTTCTCCAATCACGAATTTCCTGGCTATTAAATATCCCTACAAGTTAAATAAGGACAATGGCCCTCCATAATTCACCACTAAATCAAGGAGAGCGTAGAGTTTATTGATTGTTTGACTAATTGCTATCTGTGAAAATCCTCAAAATGGTGGCCGCACTTGATTATTTGAATGCAGATATTAACTAATTTTGATTAATGGCGTGCATGCTGATAGACAAGTCGTTTTCCTGGGCCATCCGGGAACGCCTGGTTAGGTTTGCATTCATCTCCTCCGTGCACACAGGCGTTTCCACCCAGGAAATCTTACTCTGTCCACCTCCCCTAAAACCAGATCATTTGACCCTTTAGAAAAACACAACCCCAAGTAATTTGAATCAGCGCACACCTGCGCCATCTTCGCAACTGTCTTAATATATATTGCACATTTCATTCCTGAGCACTCCACAACGGCTCAAAGGGACAGTGTGTTCCCCTATGGAACAAAATACTGACAATGCAGTTTGTCTTGTTTGGGGTCCCGGGAAAGCTGAGAAGGTGGAGGGGGAGGCTATGCTTGGCCCTTTGTGATTCAGATTTACTATGCAAACCGACAGCTGTTTTTCCGTGACTGAATGAAGTGGGACTTAGCCTTCCTTTAGCTAGATTCTGTTTTGCCGTTTACGTTGCCCGAGCACAGACCTTAGGAATGCTATTTAAGGTGACACAACACCAAGAGTTCCATCATAGGGTAAGTCATCGTACAGCTGTGGTTGTTGGCTGTAAGGGCATCTTTTAGCTTAATTCTGGTGTTTGAAAAATAAAAGAAAGATCCAGGAGACAGTCTGCGCGGTGGCCAGTCGTGTCCAGCATGCTCATCACCGGCGTTTAATTGCCATGTGCCTCTTGTGTTGACCTTTTAAAATGAGACTTACACCAATAAATTCATGTTCTCGCTCTTGCTTATGACCAGCTTCCGGGTCCTGCCAGGTCTGCAGAAAGAAATCAAGGTTTGGATATCCCTTCTCTGTACTAGGAAGCCGTTTATCACTTGGTCGGGTTAGCTTCGCTCTCCTTTCCGCTGTCCCCTTCTCCAGGCCAGGCAAACGAGTCTCTTGCTCTAAAGCAGGTCTCCCGGGGTCAGTTCGCTCTCTCGCGGTCAGACTGTCCTCTCCCCCTTTACTCCTGGGAGCACGTCTGAAATTGTTTGAAGTCAGTGACATTTCCGCGCAGAAGGAAAGGCGAGTAGGCGAGATGGGTGCAGGTGCGGGGGGAGCGACTCAGCAGGCGCCCGGGGCAGCTCGACTCCTGCAGGGTGTGGAGCCCGCTCAGGGCACGTGGCTCCCGGCGGCTGCCGTAGAGAACAGAGGCCGGGGATCTGCCGCTGCGAGCACCTCCCGTCCGGATCCCCAACTCAGTGCCCCCCGGGCTCCGGGGACGCTCTGGCTCTACAGCTCCCTGCGGCTAAGAGAAGCCTGGAGGCACCCGGCGCGGGCCGACGGAGGCGGTGAAACCGGTGCTGCAGGGTCGGGTCCCACGGATCAGCGCTCCCCGGGGCCACAGAGAAGAACCCCGGGGCCCTGGGGGCCGGGGTGGCACAAGGTCCTGCGGTGGACGCGGGCTGCCTCCAGTGTTTGTGCAGCTGGGATCTCCGCCACCCCCGTGAGCGACCCGACTGGCACCGGCGAAGACCTGCGGGGAGGGGGAGAGAGGAGGTTAGGGTGATCAAGAGGTGGTGAGTGGTGGCGTCCATGCTGGGGGTGGGGGTACGGATGGTTGGGGGAGTCGGCCTCCGGGCAGATCTAACAGGGAAATGCACTCGGGTGTTTTCCCCTAGCTTTTCCCGCAAGCCCTCCGGCAGCAGATGCCAGGGTGGCGGCGTCCCCGGTTGTGGTTTCTGGCCGCTGGGCAGTTTCGCGGCTCCTGGTCGAAGCTTGGGGCCTGCCAGGGGCTCGACCTCTCGGTAACCTGGGGCGCACAAAGTGCGACATACGGTCACCAAGCTCCCTCCCTGGTTTGCAGTGCTAGGTTTCTTGCCCAGGTCCTGCGCTGGAAGAGCCAAGCCTCCCTCTCTCCAAGCAAGCTAGGTTTGCCATTCCCGACGCCAGGCCTGACCGTCTCCTACTGGTGGTGGCCCGGAGAGGTCACCCACAGACTCTTTTAGGAAGAAGCAGTTAGGCCCACGGTGTTGTGGACACACTGAACCAGAATCCCCGCACTGTTTTCAATCCCAGGGCCTCTGGATGGCTTGGGTGGTGAACTCGGTGTCCACCTCATCCCTCGCCACGTTACTACCCGTGGGCGGTGGGCGCAGGGAAGGACCTGTAAGTGGAGAGGCCGCCTTCCCTGGGGTCTCCTCTGCCTGTCACATCTGCATTTATTTAAAGCTCAGCTGGTGGTCCTCAGTCTCCGGAATGCCACTTGTGGGCCTGGCCCAATACTACTTGGGACTTGCGTTGATTAGCAAGCTGGTCTTGAGGGTAGTGCTGTGGAAATATTTTGGAAACTAGAGGTACAGACTATTCAGCATGTCCCCATCCTTCCAGTCAACCTAGGCTCCCAGTGACTCCTAACTTCGAGAACGTTCTGCTTGTAGAGACACTGACAGTTGCCGTTTAAAGTGCAGTAGTTGAGTGTGTTACTTTTGATGTTCTGTTCACGAGTAGCACAGACCTCAGATCTCTGGAGGTGCCCTCGCTGAATCGCAGAGGAGGAGATGAGTGCAGTCAGCCCATCTTAAAAGCCTGTAGGTAGTACTGGATTATTCACCTTTCTCTGTGTGAAACTAATACGTTTTCGCTGGTGCAAGCCCATACATTACATGAAGAGCTTGGCCTGCCTCGCTTAGAATGCTACACACAAAACATTAAAAAAGGCACCGAACAACCTGCATTGGAGAACCAACCCGAGGTGCAAACTCCTCAGCGGTTTGCTTTCCAGTCCGCGAGACTCTTGGAATGGCAGAGTTAGTCAGGAAGGGAAGATTGGAAGCTTTCTTATTTTATAAGGTTCAGGAAGTTTGGTCTGATTTTGCCTTTGCCTTTGGACTCAGCATAACTAAGGATGAAAATAAGCCCTCTCTGTATTTCGATTGCTTTGGGAGGAAAGTTGTTTTAGTAATCTGGGAAAGAGGAACCATGTGCTGAGTCAGCAAAACTTCGGCACTGGGCCAGCTCAGTTCAATAATACTGGTATATGTAACATACACACTCTATATACCTTTGTGGAAGTAATCAAGAATATATTGGAATTTTCATGGCATAAGACATGCCCGCAACGCCCATTAGCAGCTGAGAAGCTAGGCTGAGTAAGAGCTAAGCCTTCTGACACGTGGAAATACGTTCTAGACAAGTAACAGTTGCATTTACTATGGGAACAAAGGAGAAATGCAACTTTCAACACAAAATGTGATTTTTTTCCTCAAATGCTCAGGTTGTACACTGTTTAAACATTCCCTCTGCCTGTCTTTGTGTGACAAGAGTTCAAGGTGGCTCCAGTGGGCACAATCTTTATTTTTAAATTTTCGCATCAATAAAATTGTTTCTCTAGAATGTCTCCTTAAAAGGCTGCTGGTAGATCCCACTAGGACCTTGTTGACCTGCCGAGCATGAAGCCCATGTGTGTGTGAGAGAAATATATGTGTTTTAAAACCACTTGGAGGACACAACTCCGCAGGAATGATTGCTTTTAAACATTCAAAGGTTAACCTGAACTTGAAAACTGAGAGCATTTCTACTGTGAAATCAAAGTCTACGTTGCATCGTCAGCAACAGATACTCAGTATTTCTGGGAATATTCTTCACGGTTCTTCTAGATCTTACAGTATGGTTGCAATGGGTGTGACTTAAAGACAAAACAAAACAAAAAACAGTATATTGCATCAAGAAGCAACCCAAAGCTTGCTTCTATTTCCTTTGTTGCCCTAATCACCTCAAAACCTCCGTTAGTATACCATTTATGATTTTAATCGTTTGGGATATAGCTGATCTTAAGTTGTTTCAGCATAATGCAGAAACATCAGGATATGAAGTGAAAAACTTAGTCTGACACCCAGCTTCCAGATGTTTGATGCTGTATAGACAAAACATCAGAATGACTGACTGGATTTTTTTTCTCTCTCCACAATCCAGATGGTTTAGGGCCTGACATCTCCATAAGGAAACACAGTTTCCTTTCTCTAAACATTGCATCCTATCTTGGGTATCCCACCTCTGGCATGGTTTGCACCTTTTCAACTACAGAATGCCAGGCCTTTTGGAATGTAGCAGAGCAATCAGTAAACGAGATGATGATTACGTACATGTTTAGGTGAATGTAGTCCAAGTCTAATGTGCTCCAAGGCAGGGGGTAGGACAGGGTGGGATGGTAAAAGAGAAAGATCTTTGTTCTCTGGGAGAATGGTGTGGCTGACGGGACACAATTTTCCAAAACTCCATCCGTGGCATCCCATAATCTTACATGGATGAAGCATAGCACCCATCAGGCCGCAGCTTGCATTTGCCCATTATGCCACTGCATGGTGAATGGAGGCCTCTTTCCTCCACAATTCTTTGAGGACCATTGTCAGACGCGTGGATGTGATACTGCATTAAAACCATGCAGGAACACTGTGTGGATCAAGCAGGTGAAAATCTATATTTAGGATGGGGGGAGAGATCAATCAAAGAAAAAGAGGCCATGATTTGAAAGACAGCAGGGGTATGTACATGGGAGAAACTGCATAGAGGAAATGGAAGGGAGAATGACATAATTGTGTTTTAATTTCAAAAACTAAAAGAAATTATTAAAAGGCGAGGCCCGCTGAGGGCTGAAGCTCCGGGTGGGAGCAGGGCTTTCTTTTGAAAAGTCAGCAGTATGGTAGACACTACCTCGAAGTACACCGCCGACAAGCAGGTTTCATAGAGCGTTACTGTATTTTACAACTGTCAGGCTTGGGGGTGATGGCAGGCAGCACGATTTTTTTTCCTTCCCACAAAGTCCCAGAGATTTAAGATCATAAACAGAGTCATAGCTGGTCCAAGTGTCTGCCCTGCTTGAGGAAGAAGGGCCCTATTGGAGAAGCCTCCCATGGAATTAGCAGATGAAGTCAAATTAGAATGGAGTCTGGGCTGCTTATCAACCTCACATTGCCTGACTACAGGAGACTGTTTAGATGATGAATTTTGATGAATGCTAAAGCATTGTTAAGACCTACCACTTGACAGTCACTGAAAGAAAAACCATACTGTTTAAACAGGCCTCCCTACAGCTATGAATCAAGACCTTGAATCAGAAGATACAGCATTTTATCCTGGTCCCAAACCAATTTTTTAAAAATAGTTTACAGGAATCTCATGGAATATCATAGTTACACACATTGAATAGTTAAGAGATTGGAGAGTCAAACAGGACTCTTCAGCACCATATAAAACAGAAACCGATTTATTTTTTCTAGGTTGCTATAATTGGATATTTTAATGACTATTTTTTTGTTTTGGTGACTCATGAACTTGAACACTAAAATGACAGACTTGGGCCAGTGAGACAGTTCAGGGACTTAAGGCACTTGCTGCGAAGCTTTATAAGCTGAGTTAGACTCCAGAGTCCCACATGGTAAGAGGAGATAATTTGACCCTAAGTTGTCCTCTAACCTCCAGATGTTACAGCATCCACTCCCCCCCATACACACACATAAAAAAGCAATAAAATTTGAGATAAATAAATAATAAAGTTGACAGAGATGGAACAGACCAAGGGAGCATACAGGTCTCTTTGGTTCTTTTATAGAAAACTGAGTTAGCAACTCAAACTATGAACGCATATCGAAGGCCTCACAGAAGTTAGAGGAAGGGTCAGAAATAGACTCACTGAGTTCCAACTGTGACTCACAGAGTCCAAGATTCTCTCCAGGGCAGCTTGCTTTCATAAGACAGCAGTACTCCAAGTTACAGACTCCGTAGCATCCAAGAATGTGACAGTGATTGTTACGGTTAGAAGCAGCTCCAAAGGATTCGTTTGTTACACATCTAAGAACTATAAAGCAAAGCCAGAACGAAGCAATGTTTTCCTCTCTTTGCCTCTGGAGTAAGACTATTGTAAAAACTAGAGCTAATAAAACTGCTTCTTCTTCAACCATTTGTCCAGTGGTCCTGATGGTGGCAAAAGGCAGCTTAGCTTTTTTTTTTTTTAATAGAGAACTTACAGTGCTTGGAAGAATGGCATGTGCAGAAGGTCACATTCATTTTTCTCTGACGATGACAAGTGACTTTGGTAAGGAAGGGGGAGGAGGAGAGTTACAGACACCCAACTCGACTCTTGACAGAAGACATGGGTGTCAATGGTACTTCACCAACCCAGAGAATCTTCACTTCCTACTGCAGTCGCCTGTTTGAAGTGACAGGATGCAGGGGAAGCTGGAGGGTGAAGGATAGAGGTGGGCAAGTCTGGGAGATGCTCTGCTGACAGAAACGTATATAGCAGTAGGAGTGTACATCCCCAAGTCTGAGGATAGGGCATCTCCATAGGCCTTCGCGGTATAAGCCAAGGAAATGGATGCAACAGGATGTTAGCTTATGCTTTCATGCTCAATTTCATATTTTAGTCAATGTTTTGGTTTTTGTTTGCTTGTTCAAAATAGGCTTCCACTATGAAGGCCCAGCTCACCTAGAACTCACTCTGTAGATCAGGCTGGCCTCAAACTCACAGAGATCTGCCTGCCTCTGCCTCCCGAGTGCTGACATTAAAGGTTTGTGCCAG